GCATTCTTGCTATTCGCTCAAACATTGCTAGTCCAACGGAGCATGTCGGCTTGCCACCAAGTACATTCTGCCCGCCACACGTCCCCGACAAATGCGCATGCAAGCGCGCATGCACGCGCGCACGTATACGAGCAGACACAGCCACGCGCATTCACGCACGCACGCGAGCACGTACACATGCAGGCAGACACAACCGCACGCACGCACGCACGCACGCACGCACGCACGCGAGCACGTACACAGACAGACACAGCCACGCGCACCCACGCATGCAAGCGAGCACGTACACAGGCAGACGCAGCCACGCGCACCCACGCAGCGATGCAAGCGGAGCAGCGTACACAGACAGACACAGCCACGCGCCAACACCAACGCAATCAAGCGAGCACCTCTCAGGGAGCACACACACACGCGCACCCACGCACGACCACAACCACCCCACCCCGCCCACCCCCCACCCCCCGGCCAAGGAACACCCCACCACCCGCTAAAGACCCCCGCCCCAAAACACCCCACCGCCCCCCCGCCCAACGCGAGCAGTATACCAAGACAGACAGAAACGACAGAGCCGACGCGCACCCGCACCGCGAGCACGATACCACAGCACAGACACCGCCCACCCGCCACGCGCCCCGAACACAAACACCCCACCCGGCCAGGCCAACACCGCAACGCCGCGAAACATATACACCACGGCAGACACAAACGACACGACGACACCACTACGCTGCACGCAAAGCGAGCACCCGTACACACAGGCCGACCACGCCCACCAGCGCGCCCACCACAACAACCACGCAACACCACGCGCCACAAACAAATACACACACACACGCAAAAAAAAAGCACACAGGCGCACATACGTGGCATACTTTCCAAGAGGACACAGCATCATCCAAGACAGAGCGGCATCCGACCGGCACCGGGGGCGCAACATGCACACCCCCAGCCAACGCGTTGTGCCAGGATAACTCATATTTGCATGTGAGTCAAATGACAAACATTCTGAATACTAAATTTCTAATTATTTTTTGTACCCTACAACGCCGTTATCCTTCATTTTAAAGGCATTGGTGTTTAATGCACTGCGTGAATTTTCTCATAAAAGCCAGGAAAGCAATTATATGAGAAAGCCCATATACTTCAGGACAGCCTAGGTTAACTTATTTTTACCTATAGGTAGACCCAAAAGCCACGCTTTGTTGGCTTTGTGGTCGTTCACCGTGTGAAGTTCGCCGTTGGCTATTGCCTATGCAATAGTGGCCCACATAATAGTTGTCGGGCCAACAGCGTCATTGCTTCGCCTCCGACGCATGCTGCCACAGCTATTACACCAACCGCTTTCCGCGCAACGTTAAGATTTGGGTGCATACTGATATCGTTACACGTTTTGCACCAAGCGTTAATCAATACAGGTTATATGCTAGGCTCTCTATAGTTTTTTCTGGTATTCGTTGCAAGACACTCCTCAGGAAAACGTTTGGGAAGATGAACGTTTTGCCATGCGTTTCGCTAACGTTAAAAACCAAAAATTCTGAGTTCCCCAAAAAATAAATGCACGGTTACTTCAAATTAGTCTATTAAACTCGTTTTAGCACGAGCGTGTTATACAGCTTTTTGTGTGTGTTAAGAATTGACTTAAATTGGTTTAACAACACCAAGCGTAGGTCACTCAAACGTTTCATCGCTATAATAACAAATATATAAACATAACTGTATTGTGACGGACATTGTTAATGTACTAAAATATTTAAGCCAACAAATTTTGACTAACGCTCCGCTTTAGTTAGATACACATGGGCACGTCACACATGGCACCGGTACGTATGGCACCGCACCGCAACAC